TTTAGACCATATGAGATTTATACTAAAATTAATGAATAATAATATTTTTACATATTTTATATAGATAATTATTGTACGTTATTTATACAAACAGGTTTGATTTAAATTGATACATCGGTACGTTTTATTTGTGGTAGGTCGTTATCCGTTCGGATGCCTCTGTCCTTTAATTGTCATGAAATACAATCTTCCTCGCAAGATTTAAGCGCGTGCTCGGACGCCAAAAAGAAAACAATCCACTCTTAATTTTGCAACACCCGAAAAGCGATATTGGTTAGGGTGACCATTTGTATAGTTAATATAATATTTATAGTCTCGGTTTCATGATGTCTCGTCATACGGAATAAGGTGTGAATTTTAAGTGGTACTTGTAAGAAAAAAAAGGATGAGGTTTCTGTATATTTTTTTTCTTATAAGATATACTTTTAAGAACCTTAAAGGCATGTTTAAATTACTACGTTCATTAGTTACAATAAATTAATGTTTAAAACACTTTTTACACTATAAATACGAGTAGCTTAATTTTTTATCACGTTGTATAATCGTACGTTTAGAGCGAATAAAAGTATCTGTTAACTACATATCTCTTGACCACGGTAGTTCTACTCCATAATGTCCGTAGACAGGGGAAAATTATGGTTGACCTCAAGGGTATCGTGTCCAGCCATCACGCCTCCCAGATCGTTTTGAGTCGAAGTTGAGCGCGGTGGTCGCAATTAGGATAAATAAATGCTCCCGACATTCGATCCATCGCCTTTTCATCCGATTAATCGCTCGAAACGAAGGCGGCATTTTGATTTTAACGCGTCCCATTCCTTTAGTATTTTTATGTAGCACTTTGCGCGGATGATAGTTATCACGCTATCTCCGCGTGTGATTATTGCCTTTATGTGATAAAGAGGTGTTCGATTCGTTGGTTTGCGATGCGGTTTGTTTGTTCTTGTATTATACGCCTTTAACGCCTAGACGTGATCGGATAACTGCACCTTATTGACGTCATAAAAATTCTATTGCCTTGTTTTAAATATACTTTTTAATACTCCTTGAAATGTGAGTCTATTCTTTAGAGATCTGTACCAAATACAGTTAACAACTACAGTATAGTTTAAAAGCTAAGAAGCTTTAACTGTTGTTTGAATAGGCCGAATTCACCATGATGTTCCATGACCTCACGAAATAATTAGTATAAATGGTTGATCTCTCTTCAAATAATTTTGGTTGTTGGAGATCAGTGTTAGTGACTTAATATCACTTTGGTCATTTGCTCGTTTCTCATTCTATAAAAGAATATTAAGATAAAAAAAAGTTTGGATACTACATATACCGCATCGTTTGGTTTATAAGTGATTATATTATCTTTTTTTCTGAAGTAAATTTATGTTCGAAACGATAAAGATATTACGTCTTAATTTTTATATCGACCCGTATAAGTTCCGAATCAACAATAGATTCTGGATCAGTAAAACGAGGCAGGCCTTTGTGATTCTAAAGCCCGCATACACGATACACTGGCCACATATCAATTATTTTGACACCAAGGATTACGTTTTAATGATTGCTCTCTTGACACTCGGTGTGTTAAGTTTAATGTCTTATTTGTAACGGCGAGTCGGGACAGGGGGATTATTCACGGTCATTGTGGTATTTACTATACATTCGTTATTAATGTCGATCTGTTTTGAAGTAATTCATTACTTTCATTATACACACACTATTCTTGTTGAAGGTAATTTGTTTATTATAACAATCAATAACGTAGTACAAAGTTAATCCAAGATGAGATACATTTCATTTCCTCTGAAGGAGTACAATAATAAGTATGTAGAAAATAGAAATTCAAAAGTTGCGATGATAAGAAGTAAGTACACAGTAAAAGCCAACCAGATTTTACAATTTCTTTATTATTTATTAACCATTGATGAAAGTAAATAAAGAAATCAAGTTGAAAACTGGTAACAAGTAAACAATTTACTTGGAGCCGTTAGTGATATCTGTATGTCGAATCAATTAGTATCAAAAAGTGTGTAGAAGCCGACCATTTAAATAGAAAAAGGCAAATACACACTAAATCACTTTACGATTTGATATTAACACATATCTACGTTGTTCGCACGAGTAATGTAATATAACGAGCAAATGAAACGCTCGGAGCACTTTCAAATGCTGATAAGACAACTCCACCTTTTCTAAATCTACGTCACAAGACAGAAGTGAGTGACGACCCTTAAAACAATAAGCGATGTCATTCGGTTTCGATGTGACAAAACTTTAATATCAATAGAACACAATAGGAACAATAGTTGTCCTGTGTCAATTATGCTATCATTACAATAGGAATAAACGACGTAACGGATCAGATGATTCTCGTAAAACAAGATGACGACGCAATGCAATGTTGAATATGCTTTTGTTTTACTGTCATACAAATTGAGCCTTTTAGCAGCGGTAATAAACGTCGGAATGCTGTAAGTCTTTGCACTACAATATGTCGTTTTAGGCGTAATGCAACAGTTACCACATAAATCACTTGTAGAATAGTTTGAACTTTATGTCATTTTACTATAGACGATCAAGTTGATTAATAAATACTATGAATTGTTCTTGAAATACAATTTCAATGGTGAACCCCCCAAAAGCAAGTTTAAAGTTATAAATTTATATAAATAAAGATACTTTCCTGGTGTCTTTTCAATTATCTTTTTAATCTTACTCCATTATTTTCACACGTAAACACGCAAAGCCTGCGAAACAGCTCCAAACCATATATGAGTTTTGTTGTATGCATTTCTCGGTGCTGTATTTCGTCAACTCCTAATTAATATATCGGCGAGCAGTCATAATTATCTCTGCAGGTGGGTGTCATCCCCACGGCGTTTGCAAATTTTCATGTGGTGTGTCGTAAAAATGGCACATTCACTTTTATTGCACTCCCTCGACACGTGTAAGTAATGTGTTGTCGCGTGTTGCGTTTTTGTCAGCGGGTAATCAGCAATTTATTGAGATGCACCGATGATTATTTTCTTCACAAGTCGGCGTGGCGTCATTATCATGCTGAATTAGTTGTCTGACCATGAACCATTGTGCCATGTTCATAAATATGACTGGAACATAAATACTAAATTAAAATGACATTTGATAGGTCTGGTTATAGACTGTATTTTATTTATGTGCTCATTTACTCATCATTTGATGGAATGCTTTTTTAAACAATAGACAAAATAATATGTAGCTTAGCACGATATATTTTCCCAAAGAAAACTTTTTAATTAAATTACACTAGCTTATTCAAATTATGACTAAAACTTTAATATTAACCCACATGTTATGTATTAACATACGAACAGTTAATTGTTTCATCTCGTAATAATCACAAACAATTAAGTATAGTCCTAGTTGTAAGGAGACTTCAATAAGCAATGTACATACAAATAATTCCCGTCATTAATTATTTATCTCACCTTGTGGCGCGGCATGTAACGGATAGACTCGGCGAGCGAGTATCGTCAGCAATATTATACTATAATTTTCTTGATAAAAGCTAATCTTTTATTACTGAAAGCATTCGGATAAAACGATTTATTTTTAAATTGAAAAAATGCCGTTATTAGACCTTATTTTTTTTAGCCTGTCGTTTATTTATTAAAAATCTTTTTATCGATTGAAATTACACTTGCATTTTTTTGCTGACTGTATTACCCTCAGTGATATATGTAGGCGCCTGAGAGGTTGCAGATTCAGCCATGTGATTAAGAGTTACGATTGTCATTAATATCGTAATGGAATCGATTTATGTTCACAGATCATCATATCGATTTTATTGCTCTACTCGTGTTGTATTTAATTTTACCTGCATTACGAGTGCTCGGTTTTACACCGCCTATTAGTAACGTTTACAGTGCAAGGCGATCTGTTTTTAACACGACAATCTGAAGGGATATTTAATTTACGAAACATTTAATTTTTAATACCTGATTTTTAAGTGGTTGCCTTTATCTTTTGTCAATCTTTTCTTTGGGTTCTAAATTTAAATTGTGTCATTTTGTTTCTGTTTACTTAGATTTTTCTGACATAAGGTTTGATAATTTGTAAATAAATACAGTAGAACAGGTTTGTAGGTAAATTTTTAATTTAGTTCTAATTAAGCGATTCATTTAGTTGCCATATAATTCGTTATATCTGAAAGACATCGATGTTGATTTCCAAACTTTTCAAGTCACCGTTAAATTTTAATCGATCGCAAGAAATGTTAATCAAACGCATGAATAAGAAGCCGTGCTTAATATTTATACGCTGTTTCTTGCTGTATAATATTCATGAATTTATTTTAATCGGTCTCTTTTTAATTTATAAAGGCCACCGGCGAATTCGTTATTGAAAGTTTACCCCTTTAAGACACACCTCCTGGCGCTTGCATGGTTTTTTCTGCATACTTCTACGTCTTGTCAACACCGACGATAAATAATATCTTCTCTACAAACCCATTATTAGGGGTGCCTGACATTTTATTTAAAGCCGATTTTAGATGAAATTGAATTTTTTCCGTAAAAAAAATTGCCCTGGGGTGCAACCGAGATGAGTTTTTAAGATTTATGTCTGTCGATTTTGGAAAATTACAGTTATTTGAAATTCTAATGGATCTCCCCCTTTTGAAAGTTAAACAAGGTTCTAAAATGTATCTCGGGAAGATGACGCGTTTACTCTTAGTTGCGTAATTTGATGTCTTGTGCATTTTCATTTTATCAAGTAACTAATTTCAAATGCTTACATTTTGGACATCCCGTCTAAAACTTGATCCCGTCAGGTGGCTCGCCGGGCAAAGTTCATCGACCCCGGTGAGGTAGGCCGGCCGATGATTGATCAGCGCCCTTATCACTGCACTGTCGCCTACGTGCGGCGTTTTCAAAGACACATTGTTTCTGGCTGGAAGCAGGTTCCGATGCCTTCATAACCTTGATCTTCTATACATAGATTATTTCTAATGAATTTCTCTTTGGTTTCAGGCTATGCAAGTTAAACATGTGGAGGAGAATAACATGTGAGTAATTTATATAGTTAACTTAATGCTCTGAATTACATTGCTATTTAATAGTAACAAGCCAAATCATTATGGTTAGTTATGTAGTAAAGTTTAATATTTTTAGTGTCTCTAAAATAACCTATAAGTCAGCATTTATGTACACAATATCTAATGTCAAATAACGACAAATCAACGAAAGACTAGAGAATAATATTTATTATTTAAAAAAGGTTGTTACCTAAAAAGGTTGATCAGAAAAAATATACGGAACTATATAACTTTTAAAAATATTAATACGAGATGTATAATTGTAATCCGCCCGTTGCTGAAAAATTGGCGGTTTGTTCGTTGAAATTAGTTAATAAATTGTGCAATTTCTTTTTAGATGGGATATTACGCAGCTTTTATTAAGAATACCTAATATAGGAGCAGTTTTAGACCTTACGAACACGGCTCGTTATTACAATCCGAAGGTAAGTAAAGTTTTTAGAAATAAGCTTTTGGCGTTTTATTCGAAGTATCTACTGTCGGCTCCATTGAAAGTACTCAAATGTGTGTGTGTGTGTGTAATCGTTTTATTAAAGGTTAAAAAAACTGTATAACTCCGAAAAGAATTAGATCTACTATTTAAAAACCAAATAGGGTACTTGGTGCAGTTGAGGTACACGGATAAAGATGCGAAGACCAAATATATATTTATAATAATAAAAATAATATTGTATACTGCGGAGTAAGACAACGTTGTCATAGACTCAGCATAAGGATTGTAGTTGGCGGGACTGCGCGAGTATAACGCCGGTCAAATGTGTTAGTATACTGGGAACCTATAAAATTAAGTTCAGGTTTACGATTGAAAGTCACATTTTCCGCTACGATGCTTTGTTCGGGAATATGTCTGATTGCCTCGCATTCATCTCCTAGCATAATCCGTTCGTAAAACTTATGTTTTCAAAAATTACTCTAGCTTGTGGTGATTTTTTGTGATCATTAATTAAGCGCCGTAAATGTCAAATTCCATTGAAATTGTAGGTAATTTTTATAAGTAAATATTTACTACCATGCATGAATTAGCCCTATGATGTAGATGCATCAATCTTCAATATCGTAGTATTCGCGTTAATAGCATTCACATGATAAGTGATGTAGATGTGAATTGATAAGAGTCGTATCTTTTAGTTAGTTTTATGGATCGTATGTCAGCGGGCGCCGCGCCTAGCTGGTGTCGGCGCCTGGCCGAGGCTCGCAGCGCGTGTCGCCGCCACTCGCCGCTCGCCGCTGATTGGCGCTGTCAACTTGAATTACACGCGCGTTTCACGAATTGATACACACTCCACTCAATTAAATTGGTGACTCGTGGCGGCTAATAGAAGGGTTACGTGATTTTTTTTAAATGATAGATGTGATTTGTTCTGACGGTCATTTCTTGATTCTACTGTTAGTAGATTGTTATTTAGTTCTTAATCCTTGTGTTGACTTTTGATTGGATATTACCCACACCATAGTCAGATCCAACTTATCACTGACTGCAATAGGAATGTTTTTTGAGACGTATTTTACATGTGACAGACTCATTTTAATAATTATTTATTTTGTTGTTGCAGAATTTCGAAGCTGTCGGTGTTTTGCATAAGAAGATATTTATTCCAGGCCGGGCCATTCCGCCCGAAGAAAAAGTGTCCGAGTAAGTTTATTTTCATAATTTCTTTGCATTTCTATTTTACATATGTATGTGTCTAAAGATGTAACCACAAAAGTTATTTGATGTTCTATATTAATGTCAATCTCGTTAAATGGAATGTCCAGTGATTGATTTCGTTCGTTTTAAATACGCGAGCGCGCGTATAGAAGCAGCGCGTAAATCAAACGCCGCCGGGCTATCGATCAATGCGGGTCGTGTTATCTTTTTGCACTTGCGGCGTGTTTTTAATTTGAACCGTCGAATTGGCGCCATTCGTAGGCCGAATATGGGTAATGTTATAAATCTTTAGAGGCGTGGGCGGGCGCGCGTTGTAGCGCAGTGTGGAGCTCCCCGGGACTGAGGCGACGCGATGAGACCAGCGAGCAGCGTGTGCGGAGCCCGGCCGAATCGCCCACGCGTCCGCTTTCGGAATTTGAAAGGCATTTGTCGCTCGCACCAATGCATCTCGCCTTACGAGTAACAGATGTCCGTGTTAATAGAAAAACAAATATTTTATTAACTCGTAAATCTATTTATTTAGACCACAGATATATACAATGAAGTTCTGAAATCAATACCAACTTTTACTTACGTGTCTACATGCACTTTAGAGAGTGGGTAATCTCTTAGAAAGTGAATTATAACTTTTTCATGAACTTTCACAGTGTCGGACAATGGATTGTATATTTGAATTTGTTTTACGATTTGGACAAATTTATATTTACTTACGGAAATAATTGTTTATTTTTTATCAACTCTCAAATCGATTACAAACTTGTTAAGTTTTTCGATTCGACCAAACGTCGATGTTTTTAATTTTTTGAATTTTTACTTATGATATTATTCGACATATTTTTTATTTATTCGATATTAAACATTTAGAGCAATTTCAAAGGTCTGTAGTTAGCTGTAGGTAAATAATGAACACATTATAACATCTGCGGGGTCTAAGAGCTTTAACTATGTGATTATCTCGGTCATTTGTCTGGTCTTTTGTTAGACGCTGCGCCACGTCGTCGACTGACTTCACCATAAATTATCATCGGCATTTCTCAGATAGTTGGTGGTGTTATCGCGACCGAGCACCTCGCATCTGTTTGTCAGTTAAGGACGGACTAATGTGCCACCCGTAACGCTACCACGATCCACCATCCACGATCCCCGATAGAAGTTTAGACGAAGATTAAGTATTAAGCGATTGTCATCGCCTATATAAGCTTTGTTTTAATTTTAAATAGGTCGACTGAAAATATTTTTTAGTCTAAGGTTTATTTAATTTTTTGGGTTATTTAAAGCAATTAGTCTTTATTATTTTTGGAATTCATTCCAAAAATGAGTATTTATGCATTAATTATTGAGTAAGGTGACGCGTCAATTAGGCATAACTTTTTTTTACACATACATTCCTTTGTAGAGAAATATAAAACCTAGACATTTAGTAAGTACATCTTAATGTATTATTTTTTTGTGTCGAAATTAACCAGGTCCTTAATGTTTAATAAAAAGATAAGTCATAATTCAAGGAGCGATAAAAAGAGTGAAAGCGATTCGCGGTACGCAGCCATTATGTCGAGAAGAGGTTCGAGCCGGTGGTAGGAGCCCCGTGACCTTTTACTGAAGATGATCAGTCGCGCCGTAACTACGCTCGCGTGCCTCGGCCGCTCATCCATTTATCACGGGTGTATTTTTACTTGTTTCACCATGTCGACTGTCCACAATCATGTCGTCATTACAAACCGGCGCGTGTACCTACATATCAGCCCCACAATAAATCCTGACCACCGCCGAGTGCACTTCCATTGTTCGCTTTAGCTTAAGTGCTCGAAATTTTATTCCTGTAGCGCTTGCAAAAAGTTCTTCAAATTGGTTTATTTTATTTTCTTTAAATTTAAGTTTTAGGAAAATCTATACCATTCCTCAAGCTTGTTTTTGTTTCGTTTTCACCACTTAAAAAGTACCACGTTAATTGTAATGTATATTTGAGACTAAGTAATCTGTATACCTATTAATTACATTATAGGATCATCGATAAATTTACAATGATCAAATAGCGTCTAAAGATATTTATTCAATATTGATACGTTAGATTCCATGTCACCTGTACACGTCAAATCCGCTTTTGAGCTTTTTTCGTCATTATTTTTTGTTTGTGTTTGTATTAGCACATGATTGATACGTAGTTGTTACAAGACAATTTGACATTGTATTAAATCATTTCCATTTTTAGTCGGCTCGCTGGGGTCAGTGGGAAAACCGAGTTGTGCTGTGACAACAAAATTGGACGCCCTAATTGCTACAAGTAAATAGCTTCAATTGTAGCATTATTTTAATTTTATCGATTTAATCCTGAAGCACAGTCAAAATCAAAATATAATTATGTGTACTAGTATGAGTAACACTTCGTTTTATTGCCTGTTAAAAATTCCTATCATATTAACATAATATCATGCATGATTCGGCAGATAGCGTAATCAAAGCCTAGTCATGAAAGTGATATTTAAGCCGTCTTAAATCTGTGATAATTATTGTGTTCTATTAATCTCTCTTTTATGGTTTTGAAAGTTATTCCTTATTTTAAAACTTTATATGCGCGTAGGCATCAAAATTTAACAGACGCATAAACTTACTAAAATCTGTCTCGAATTTTCGGGAATGCATCATATTTAAATTTCACTAGAATTGTTGTTTTCAAACTAAAGTGCATGTCGCTAAGGTTGTCTGGACTATATACAGTGCTGCAATTTCAATGCACTGACAACATTGTGACAGGTTGTAACAATTTCGACTCTTGGAGGATGGTACGTTAAAAATGATTGTACAGTTAAGCGAACTTTACGTTCGTTGAGAGCCTGTCCTGTTCGTTCGCCTTATTCATTTCGATAAATTGGAATTAAAGTTGTATTATTTTTATTTAAGAACTGTACTCGTGCATTTATCTGAATAACAACATTGCTTTTCGTATTCATGTTATGCAGTTATTATATTTTGCACATAATCTTTATGATATATGACGTTCCCTTCACAAAATTTCACGAATTTCATTTACATCTTTAGAAAGAGGGTTAACATTTTTTAGTATCTTGTTGACGACTACAGTAAGAATCCATTTTCCGTTATTTACCAATTTTTTTAACGTTTATCTTTATTTTGGTATTTGTTTTTATTTATTGTTCAATTACTTTACTTCTGGTTAGTTATCGAAGTATTTACATGTAATTGCGAAGGTATAATGAATTTATAATGAACAATAATTTTCTTGAAGGTTCTGGAGACGAGGTTGGATAAAGTGACGCAAGGCCTGTGATCTCTTTGACTTTGATGGTTTATGCCTTGCATAAAATATAAATTATTGCATCATTACGAAGACCTTTAGTAAGCTTAACATCTGTAAATGGCGTTTACTGTTTTATTTATAGTAAATCAAACGAGCTGCTCGATGATTACTTTACAATGATTATAGTGTTTATGGATATTAAGAAGAAATATAAATATTGATATTGTTTTTATTAAATGTATGTCGTAAGTGTAAGCCTACGGTTATTGTAAGATGTATAATAATAATAAAGTTTCCTAAAAGTTTTTTTTTATTAGCAATGCAATGTTTTGTTTTCGTATGATATTCATCGAATTTATTATTCAAACGACTTTTATATACTAGTAACTAACATTGAAATAACCCATAGGTTGTCTGCTTCGGTAATAACGTTGAATGGTAACATGCCTATTACAAGTTGTTACGCCGTTTCAATCGGTGTAATAACTGATATTTAATATCGACAATATTACAGTTTCCTTCCATTACACGGCTGCCATATAATCAATCGGACCACACAGACTCGTAATTGAGACATTGTACAAATCTGTTCTATTATGCGCGGTCGTCTACGTTCGTTTTAAATGTTTGTAGTGTATTTAGTTCAAATGTAATATTAACATAGTAATGGTGCGGTTGCCATTTATTTTATCATTGAGTAATTTCCGTTGCCAAATGTTTGGTATTATTAGGACTAGTATTTGCTTTTCGTAATACGTGTAATTTAAAATATGATTATGATTCATTGGGAACAATCACTCTATAAATGATTTTTTTAATAACATCACAGTATTTAAGACAGTAAGACGTTATATTAATTTTTAGAAGACAACTTCTACAAAAATAATATGGTTAATTTGTGGAAAATGATTGTGTTCAAGAAAACTTGATGTTGCTCTTTGAATTGTAAAATTTAATTGTATATTCATTAAAGAAACATGAGAGTTTTCTTCTTGTCACTATTACAAAAATTGTCCTTTTGTTTCAAATATTTGAAAAAGCTTCTTGCTCTTACTTATTCTTTGGCGAAAAAAAAAATTGTTACAGTCCAGTGTGTCACCAACCTAAAGATGTTACGAAACGCCTCGGCCGAACACTAGAACTTAATTAAATTCGGGTTATGAAAGCGTGGATCATAGACATGATTTGATTAGAGCATGCACTTGTTTTTGATCGCCTAATCATTATTCCGGCCTCGTGTAATGCCAGTTTGGTGCAGTGAGACATATTTTTAAATTACAAGTTAAGCGATGAGAAGTCGTGTCCCCCTTTGACTATCATGTCGCTGATAATTTATCGTGTGGGCTTTTGTTTGATCACTTGTATTTAGTAAGATTTTGTTTATGTTTACTAGGCTTACGTTCCTGTTTACTTTCATATGTTCTCACGACCGTGTAACCTTAATTGGTCATTTACGGTTGAATAAAAAAAAACAATAAAAATGTTAAAAAACCGTTAATACATTTGTTAATGCAGATATACTGTATCATAGGATATATATAAAATTAAGTTACAAATAAAAAGTCAGAATTTCACCGAAACAAGCCCCTGACTGAAACAAAGTTTACAAAATTTATTTTATATTCTAGCTGTCACCCGCGACTCTGACCGCGCGGAATCAGAAAAAAAGCATTATTAGTTGACTTTGTGTTCTTCCAGACTATGTTCTATATCTATGCAAAATTTCGTC